TTGTACAATCTTTGCATCCTGTGCTTCCAGTTGGGATGACATCTGTGCTGATACCGCTGCTGATATACGTGTCTCCAGCGCTTGTATCTGCGATGAAAAATCTGAAGACTGTGTTTGCATCTGTGTTGACAGCTGTGATGACATCTCTGACATGCGTGTATCCTGTGCTTGCATCATCTGTGACATGGCAGCCAATAACGTGTTCATGTCCATAACTGTTGATGACGAAGGAGCCTTTTGCTGTTCTTCAACCTTCCCGGATGTCTGTTGCACATCCTTGGACGAACATGCAGCCTCATCCTTCTGTTCGTCCTTTGCGGATGTATCGTCGGGTTTACCTTGGAAGTCGTATTTGTCCACGTCGATGCCTTCAGCTTCCATAGCCTCGCGCAACCGGGATAACAATTCCACTTTTCTTCCGGAGGTGGCCAAATTACGCTTTTCCAACTCCTGTTTCAGCTCCTCAATATTTAAGTCCTGAATTTTCGCCATTTTTAGTAGTTTCTCCTTTATTTAACAATCCCACTTCTGACACCAATTGTTACGATTATCCTCGAAACCTTGAGGGATTTCCCAAATATACTCGGGCTCGTATCGCTGGATTGTTAAATAAATGCTAACGATGACCAAATTGTAGTACAATTAACTTTATTGTACAACAAACAATTTACAATACTTGCTAATACAGTAAAAACACTTTAAAATACTTGTTAAAGCAATTACAACGCTTTACTGAACTTGTTACGCACAATTAAACTTATAGCTTGCTTATTCGCAACTCGCTTCTCTGCTCACTTTACTTGTAGCTTGCTGACTTGTAACTAACTCACCTCGCTGTGGCGGCACCCTTATATACCTGCGCGGGCACTTATGGCAACTCTAGAACATTCTGAAGTTTATCGCTCATTCTCTTTCTCCCGCTGTTCGCAGTGTTCATCCAACTTGACGTTTCTCTTTGTGGAACATTCTACGTCGTTCCTCGAACATCTGCCTATTTCTCGTTGTTCGCTTTGTGTTGCCGCAGTATTCGCCACAAAAGGCAATAAGAGGACCATCGAAAAAGAAAATAAACCTAAGAATGGAGGCGTCTTGCGCTTATTTGCAAATAGTACCACTAATCAATACTTATTTGCGTGATTTCGTTATTTGCAAATAAAAAATTAACTCAACGTTTATACGGAAATGTTTACCATTTTGCAAATTGTTATTTGCAAATAATACGTGCGTATAAACGTAGCATATGTTTAAATTGAACAGCTGGCTGACAATTGATTAGCTGATCTTAGCTTAAACCAGCCAGATCGGACATTTAAACTGAGTTTAAACTACGGCCGGGCACTGAACAACTGGCCCTAAGGGCCGTTTGCACCATGTCTAGTTAATTCTAACTCCCAGTTAAACATCTTTATCGACACCCATCATATAACATGTGATCGATAAAGCAGTTGATATGCTTAACTGAAGGATGTACCTCCAGTTAGCGTTAACTAGACATGGTGCAAACCGCCCTAAGTCGAAAAACATGAATTCGAGAAAAAACGTTTTAAACATTTGGATCGTAATTTTATCCTTATGGGGAAACCAAAATATGTTCGTCTATGACTTTTTAAATAGTCTAGCTGGCGAGATGGGGATTTCACATATACATGGAATAGTAGTTGCAGAAAACGATAGCATATATAACTCAATTCTTCCTTAAGTCGGCTTAGAGGATTATTGCTTATGACTACAGATATATACACTTGTGGTCAGCTGATTAAGTTTAGTAACATTTTGACCAGTTAAATCTGTATGAAGAGAATACACGTCATAATTATAATGAGTGGGAACATCAGGAACGTGCTTTCTCTTTTGCCCAAATACGTTTTGTGATTGGATGAAAAAAGAAGGCACTTCGCCTCTGGTGTAAGTAAAGTTTGGTCAGCCGCGAGGTCAATGTCCAATCCGAAGAAGCACGACGAAGGGGTCGAAATTTCTTTCGGCGACCATGCTTCGGCGGACCTGAAGCAATGCGCGAGCTTTTTTAGCCGGCAGTTCATACTGCATCCTCCGACGGACAAAGCCAAGCGTCGAGTGACCAGAAGGCTGCACAAACTGCCAACAACCTGTGACCCTCTTGCTTTCACTAGCAGTGTAGTTCAGGTAGCCATCGGGAAGGCGAAAGCCGCCAAAGCCATGGGGCCCGACGGAATATGCATGTTGATGGTGAAAAATGTGGGTCCTTTGGGAGTAGCGTACCTAACGAAGGTCCTCAATTTGTCAATGGCCACTCTCATCATCCCAGACATGTAAAAGATGGGAAGAGTGGTCCCACTGCTCAAACCGGGGAAACCAGCCAACAAAGGAGAATCTTATCGCCCGATAACACTACTTTCCTCGGTAGCGAAGACACTAGAGGCCTTGCTGCTCCCGTATTTCACGAACCACCTGACCCCAGCGAAGCATCAGCATGACGAGGCGAAAATGCTCCCTATAAAGGAGCATAACTCAATGCTCTGCAAGCAGTTTCTAGTTGGGAGCCACAGACATGGTCACCTACCATGAACAGACGGTTGCTACATTGAGATTCACCCACCACTTGAAGACGCCACAGATTATTTCAGCTATAAAGGGTGGCATTCAGTTGAGCTGTTAGCATTAGTGGACGCTAGGTAAAGGTACTCATAGACTCTATTGCACATAATTTCTAATTTTGGTTTTCTATTACTTCAGATCTCATTTCAAATTATGTAAGCTCTGGAAGCCCAGGACGTTGTAACGATTCGCAGATATTTCAGACTCTCTCTAAAGCAGCAACTGGATCAATGCGAACTTTTAACCGAAATAAAGAGAAGTATTGCTGGCTTAGATATACCTATCTTTGTTATTGGCGATTTGGTGTTTCGATTGAGCGACAATTTAATGAAACCATACCCGTTCAATGTTTCGCAAAGCCAAGAGCAAGAACAATTTAACTATCATTTATCCAAATCTCGGAGAGTGGTCGAAAATGCTTTTGGACACTTGAAAGCGCGTTTTTGGCGAATTGGAAAAGGCATAGACAATGCTATAAAAAATGCTAACGCAATAATTCTATCGTGTTGTGTACTTCACCATTTCCTTAGCGAAAACAACGACACGTTAAATGAAAATAGGCTACGAGCTTTAGAAATTGCAGAAGCAAACCGTTCGTATCCTGATCAAACTGTGCTATTAGAGGACCAAACAAACAATCGGAAGTAATAAGACGTGATATTTCCTCTTATTTGCGTTGATTTTATTTAATTATTTTTTTGTAAATGTAATTCATTAAATTAGCTTAAAAAACTCCGATATATATACAACATAAATTCCGATAAATTGCCATAAGTAACATAGAAAAAACTCAGATATACTTTTTTTACTTTAAATTTTTGAACAAAAATTGCAGTTTATATTTATACGATTTTTGTTTGATAACGAGCTACTTAAACAAAAAAAAACGAACGAAAAACCATTGCGAATATAGTAAAAAGTTCAATGAATGACTTTGGGACTCTTAATGATTTGTTTTTAAATGAGATCAAGTTACACATAAGAAATCAAACTTTAAATCTTAAAATATATAGGTATTTTTCTAAAACACATATATATATAACAGAAAAATTCCATAAAAACATATTACTATACAGTTCACTTTTTGATCTACATTTGATACATTGATTGGTTGATTGATACATTTTCTAAAACATATATATATAACAGATAAATTCCATAAAAACATATTACTATATAGTTAACTTTTTGATGCGCAAATGCGAGACAAAAATGAGCGCTTTGTTTTACACAAAAAGCATGAACGGTTAAATAATATTATCAGTGCGAAATGCTAAACGAACGACAACAGCTGTTTACGAAAATAATGTGTGTCACAATTGCAAGCCACTCACATATTGACAAGTTCCGACTATTAACTTTTTTAATTATATAATTTCTATCAAAGTATATTTTCATAAAAAAAAATAATAAGAAATTTATACTCAAAACCTGTGTAGCGTATAATTGTGATAAACACTAAGTTGAAAATTTTCAAACGAGATCAAGATACGGATAAAACCGAACTTTAAAATTTATTGTGGCATGTTCTTGTTTTCGTATGAATCGAAAATTTGAAATTGTTGTGCAGAAAATGAAAGGAAAATTTCTTGATTTTCGAGTCGTGCGAAAACAAGAATACGCTTCATTGCACTTCAGCCTCCTTTTCAACATATGCTTTCAAAATCCCTTTTTTTTCTTCTTCAATTGCTATAACTCTTTTTTACTTATTCTTAATTTCAAAATGAATATTTTGTATATTATTTTCTAGAATTTAAAAAAAATGTGCCAATCCTTCTTTTCTTCTTGTAGTGGCGGACGCTTTTGCCGGAACTGGTGAATCCGAAGATGCGGATGGTAATGGCAGCGGTGAACCTATTGTCATGGAGGGCGATGGCAGTGGTGTGGCTATGGAAGGTGACCTGAACGGCGAAGTAACTGATATGGACGGTGATGGAAATGGATCAGAAATTGGCGACAACGGTGCGGATATAATTGAAGAATTTAGATCTTAAATAATAAATATTTTTAACAAAAACATGAATTAAAGGATTGTTGTACTTACTATTAATCCATCTCTAAACCTTTTGGGTGATAGCTCTTATAGGGAGCCAACAAAGCCCGCATGTCTTTAAAAAGGTCCAACTCTGACGGTGATCCACCTGTTGTTCCCTGTTTTTGTTTCTCTGATCTGCAAAGGAAAAAATAGAATTTGGATTACATTTAATTAAATTCAGTATAAATTTTTAAATGCATTTCTCCTAATTCCAAATATTGCATTGAAATGTTATTTGTTGGACCAGTTACCAGAATTATTTCAAAAAACAAATTGGTTGGGGTTCGGCCCTTTCTGAGGTGGTGGTATATCTAAATGTATGCGCTGAATGAAATAATTTCATAACACATACACAGCCAACAAATATATTGTTTATTGAAATGTAAGTCGTGTAAGTCCTTTTCTTCGAGTTATGAATACCGTCATGATCCAATGATCGGATCTAAACCAAATTAGTATGGAACCACCTCGTGAGGTGCAACCCCTTCCTTTACAAAAAATATTTATAGAAATTGGTTAAGGTCCAAAGTTATGCAGTAACATTCATTAAAAAAAATTCCGACGAACTCATAACCTCCTCCCTAGGTACTTATTAAGAATATTGACTTGCTAGTATCGGAACTATTTCTGTCACGTTTATTTGCCAAGAGTTCCTCAACGGCTCGGCGCTAGTGAGTTATTCGCAATCGTATGCTTTGAATCATTCACAAGTAATTTTTAGCAAAAAAAACCGATTTCAACTCTCATATAAAAAAAAAAAATATATATATATATATCTCGTGATCCGCTGATCGGATCTTAACCAGATTAGTATGGGACCACCTCTGAGATACTACCTTTCCGATGAATTATCGAAATCGGTTGACGTGGTCCAAAGTTATGCGGTAACATACATAAAAAAAATAAAAAATAAAAAAATATTCCGACGAACTGATAACCTCCTCCTTTTTTGGAAGTCGGTTAATTATACTAAAGCCAGCCTTCCGACTTTGGCTATTATTCTATGCGAACACAAATATGTATGATATTAAGCCGGGCCGTACATGCTCACCCTTGCATTCGCTTACAATGCCGTGCTGATGAATTGAATTAAGTTCTGAATCCGACACTGATAACGAATTTGTATATATGGAAATACATACATGGTTAATATAGAAAATACCTGGCAAAAATTCTGGAAGACCTCTTTTATGCACCGCTTCCTCCATGTCCCCTCGCGACAATGCCAATAAAAAAAAAAACGTTTCTCAGCTAGCTGGGGCCACTAGCACGAACTCTCGCGCGAAAACAGCATGCGCAGCGGATATAATGTCCACCAAATAACTTTTTATAAGCATAATAACAAGTACAAATATCTACCGATATCGGGCGCTCAAGTTGTGCATTTTTGTCTTGACTTCCCCCACCGTGTAACGGATTCCGTGGCTTTCGAGCACCGCAGCCATTTCCTAAAGTATGTGGCTATTTTTTCTACAGCCACGCAACTTGCTCATCTTCTCTCCCCATATTTCCAATAAAGCCCGCTCGCCTGCCTGGTTCCACTTGCTGGCACTTTTTCTGTGTACTAAAAATATAGGCGCATATTCATAGTCATATTTAGTACTCAGCTAAGTCGAAACTATTCTAAGTCACAACTAAAGCTATTCTTAGTCGCCTTAGTTTCGACTTTTCTGGCTAAGTACCAACTTAAAATTTAGTTTCGGCTTCAGTTGCAACTAAGTCGTAACTA